TTTACCCCCCCCCCCCCCCTACCCCCCCCCACCACACACACACACTTTCACCTTAATTTTGATCAAAAATGCTTATAAATTTGCCATTGAGTCAATAAGGCGCAGTCCCCTACAATTTTCCAGATCGTAATTTGCTCCCATTTATTACTATCTACCATCTCGCCTCGTATGAGCTGATGTTATTTGAAATCCATAAACATCTTGATTTCGTGTTGATGGCGATAGCGAGTGGTTCTCAGTTTAGAATTTGCTTTTGGCTAATTGCAGTTCCCTTGGTGTTCGGAGTAGTAGACGGACATGTAATTTTTAGGCCTGCCCTTCCATTTTTTTTCTTTGTTTTTAAATATCATCTTAGTTGTATTACCTGATGCATTGCATTTTATTGGTTGTCTCTATTGGTGTTTATTTATATAAATTATATGGAATCAGTCTACACCGTCTCTGTTTTTGTTTGCTTTACTCCAATCTGTTTAGGAATAGTTCATTTTCCATCTTTGAGATACTTGATTTGAAGTGGGCCCTTCATTTATTTTTATTGTTTGTTATTTTTTTTATTTTTTTGTTTCTCTATACATAATTTGGGTATTGACCACTTTGATTATTTTGTCCAGTAATATGACCTTGTACCATATTGGTAGACATAAATTATTACAGTTCGTTAGCATTTCACTTAATTACTAGTTGAATCTCCTTTTTCTTTAGTTGCATGTGAAATCAAGTTGAGTTCTTTAAGGACTCATCCTTTCTCTTTGCATATCGAAGATATCCATAAAGGTTTGAAACTTCCTTTATCGAGATGGTCAGCCCCCTCAAAACATGACGTACAGGTCGCGAAACGAAGGGTAGAACTATAGAAGAAATAAAGAAGGTGACCACGAGTCCCATTTTATGTCGTCCCTTTTTATTTTTATTTTGTTATCTTTGAGCATAAGCCCTTGTCGTCTTTTATTTTCTATTATTATTGTATGTTTAGTCTAGGACAGATACAAAGAAAGTGGGCCTAAAGGCCAAAACCAAAAATGGGCCCAAACACCGATCCAGGCGGACAGAAACCGGGTTTGGGTCAAACCCAACTCTCTCTCTCCCCCTCTTTTATTTTATGTGTACTTATCTTCTTTTATTTGTCGATAACTTAAAGTTGAAGAATCCAAATTACCGCAAATGCCGTAAATGTTTTGTCGATTTAAAGTTAACTTCAAACGGATTATAAAAGAATAAATGAAATTTTCAAACCAATTTCTACTTAAATAGTAAAATTAAATATTTCCTTTTTTAAACAACTTCAAATAATTCTCGCTTAGACAATAAGATAGTTTTCAAAGGAACTTTAGATTATAATAAGAATCCCTGAACTCCTTTAAAAGTTTTCAAAATGATTTTTCTGTTTAAATCTTTTGAAAACAGTAGTTTGCTTGATTTTTCTTTAAAAATTAAGTGGCGACTCGAAAACTATAAAAAAAAATTCATAATATAATATTTTCTGAAAACTTTGGTAGAAAATGTTTAAAATAGTATTATCTTTGATTCATAGAATATTATGATTATTGGATTCAATTAGTGATCATGGCCATTGGTAAGGGTCTTTGAGTATTGTGTTGGATGATTTAGCTATGGATTGGAGTTGTGAGATTGGAATGGAGGTATGTTGACCTAACTTTCTCTATATTGTGTAGTATAGTTCTTAGATGATGATGATGTTTGGTATGGTCCACTTATGGTGGTGGTGATTATGTGCTATACCTGTGAATTATGTTGTCTCGTCAACATTACATTATGAATTGTGAAACAATGTGGCCTCGTCATCATTACTTTATGTATTATGGATTTATCATGTTGTAACTTGAATATGTTAGTATTGTGAGATTGTTGATGAGTGCGGTATATATATGGCGTCAAAGCATGAGTTCTTTAAGTTGATCATGTGTATCTCTAGTAGGCTATAGTGAAGTCATTATGTGTATTACTTGATGTTGAAGTATGATGATTCTTGATGGATTATATGAGCCTTGTGATAATTTAGATGGATGATAAAATAGTAGGGAATAGGGTGACCTATAAATGACATTGTTTATTCCTATGTACTTCTTGAATGATATGATATATGTGATATGGTGAAGTATATGTATGTCTTATTTTGATAGACTTGTGTCCCTTACTTGATACATGTACAATGTAAATATTAGTTCTCTACTTAGTATGCTAAAGCTTCTTAGTCTTGTATGTATGACTGACATGTGACCTTGAACATAGTTAAGAAGGTCTTTTATGGGGAACCTTCAACCTAGATGGAAGGTTATGATATCCTTGATGTTGAAAGCCATAATGGTATACTTCTTATGTGAATTGTGGACTTAGGTTTGATTGGCTGGAACGGCATGAAATCATCCTTAGGAAAGTCATTGAGCTATCCTCTTGACCATTGCAGGTAGCCTTAGTGGACCCTCTTTGGTAAGGTGTAATGTGATTGGATTGTGAACAAGTTATGGTACCGATCCATATGCTCCTTATTGAAATACTGTAGGAGAACAAATTCTAGCATATAATGAGTATGTTAGGGGAGTTTCTCTAAATAAGATGACATTAGATAACAAAGAAACCCTTCATAGTCCTTAACCATGCGCTTACATGGGATGTGTCCTAGTTCTACCATTGGCAAGTGAACACCCTCCATCAGAGTAGGTTCATGACTCTATATTCCATGCATAACTAGTATTCTCTATGTTGTTTATTGCCTATTATCATCATATAGGATACCTACAAGTGTTGGAGAAGTTCTATGGAGTTAAGGTAGTGGTATGGGGCGCTATCTAGACACTGCACGATTAGGCTTTCAAGATGTTATTGTGTTAGTCCCTAGGTCTTCTCCAACACTATTATTTGAATGTCCTTGAATGTTAAATGTCTCTTGATGAATTAATGAAGATAAAGACGGAAGTTAGAAAGTATGTTAATGAATAAGTACTTACGTAGAGTAGTTTAAGGATTGCTTAGTTAAGGTGTAAGGGGGTATTGGAATGGTATCTTCATGTCTTACTCAGGGAAGACTAAAGAACAACTTTAGATAGGGAAAATAAATTGATAAATTAGACATGATCTAAACATAGGTAGTCTTTAAGGATTATTTAGGTAAGCTTGAAGAGGGTGTATGGGCGGTCTCTTCTTGTATTACTTAAGTAAGTCTTTTGATAACCTTTGGGAGGAGAATGTCATATTATATTCTATTATGTAAAATGAGAATTACCTTATCGTAGGTAGTCTAAAGGATCTCTTTGGTGTGTGTGAAGGGATTGTATGGGTGGTCGCTTCATAAATCACTTAAGTGAGCCTTGGAATTACCTTTAGTAGGAGGATCTCATGTCTATGTGTTTTGATGTATGTTTGATGCTATATTGTCATGTGTGAGTTTTATATGATGTTAAAGTGAAGTCACTGTAATGCTTACTGTAATGTTATTGTAAATGCATCTAATTTAGAGATGACTTGTACTTTATTCTAAATATGATGTGTGGTATTTAAATGTGATTAATATATAGTTATAATATGAAGTTTTAATCAAAAAGAGTATGTTTCTCATGAATGTCCATTTCTCATGATTTTATGTATTATGTTATACTTAGTACATGCATTGTACTAATTCCATACATTTTGTCTATTTCAAAGGGTGTAGGTGGAACATAAGAGGTGTCTTGAAGCAAGGCTTGGAATCTAGACTTTTTCAGGCAAAATTGAAGTATGTCCTCACTTGACTCGGGGACATTACTATCTTTAGACTTCTTTTATTCAAAGTATTGTAATAGACTAAGTTCTTTATTTTGATTGTATGGGTTGTGTCCCAAGTTTTCTTGAGTCTAAGATTAGCGTATGTTAAGACTTAGTATTTTCCTATGGTTTTATATGAAAGATATTATGAGATATTATTCGTGTGAAAGGTTTTAGTTCTGTACTACTTTTCATACATGTATGGAATGAACGATGTCATAGGTCTTGTACAAGACCTCCGAGAGGTCAAATACGCCTTGTCGCATTCCGAGAGTGACATGTTTACTAGATGCGCTCTTGGGATGTGACAGATATTAGTGACATAGTATTTGTTAACTACCATATTCCATCTATGAATAGAGATTCTCGAGAGAAAGTTAAGAAAATCAGCTTGTTCTTCGCCATTGTCTAAGGTATTATTTTTGGGGACATTAGGTGAAAAGGAGATTTGTTGGAGGACCAGGTGGTCTAATTTTTACAACAAAATCAATTGCAGTCTCACACCAACTCAAGTAGTAGGGAGACATCATTCAACAAATTGAGAAAATCCTACATCAAATTAAGGCCGAAATTCCCAGCGCCCAAAATCAAGTAAAAAATAAGTCATATTCTAAAGATGAAGATGATAACAATTTTTAAGAGAATTTCCTGGTACTTTGACATAACAAAAATGAAGTCACCCATGACATCCTCAAAGTTTCTCTAATTAACATTATGTTCCTATGCTCTTTCAATTTTCTTATAGATTTCATGTCCCAGGGATAGTTGCACATAAATTTTCATTTTACAAACCAGGTGGACACAAAGGACTCCCATGGTTGTCTATCAAAGGCCATTTGGTATCTTGGGTGTTTTGACCCAGTTGTAGTAGTTGAGGGTTTCTTTTTGACAATTGAATTTGTTTGTTGTTGAGAAAAAAAAATTAAATGGTTCTTGGAAAGCTGATGCTAAGCTGATGCTTCAATCTCATCAGGCGAGCTTAGTTCCAATGCTTCAATCTCATCCCGTGTGCTTAGTTTCAATAATTTCATTTTCTTTTTTCTAGATATAATCACCTACCTTGCAAGAATTCTCAAGTAAGAAAGTTTGGGATAGAGTGTGAGCTCTCCTTGATATATTCTATATCAAAATCAAAAATAGATAAAAATCGCTTGCCATCTAGCAAATATATGCTTAAAAGCAAGATTTTGTACATCCTTTTGCAAAGCTGATTTTGCACCTTTATAATCAATGCGTAGTAAAATTTGCTTTTACGATACCTTTTGTCAAGTATGAGTGGAATGTTATGCCATTTGGACTTAAGAACTTTCCTTTGGAATTTCAAAAAATAATGAATGATATCTTCAATCCCTTCTCAAAATTTATCATAGTCTTCAATGATGATGTCTGAGTATTCTCTACAAGCATTGACCAACGCTTCAAGAATCTGAAAGTTTTCTTTAATATTATTAAAGATAACAGCTTAGTTTTGTCCAAAACTAAGTAAAGTATTTTTCAAATTAATATAAGGTTCCTTGGGCACAATATACAACAAGACAATATTGTCCCTATCCAACGGTCCATACAATTTGCTGATAAATTTTCTGATCAAATTCTTGATAAAATCTTGCTTCAGCGATTTTTGGGGTGTGTGAATTGTATACTGTATATCAAAATCATAAATAGATAAAATAGTTTTTCATCTAGCAAATATCTGCTTAGAAGCAAGGTTTTGTACATCCTTTTGCAAAACTGATTCTGCAGCTTTACAATCAATGCGTAGTAAAAAAAAATTGATTTAGTACATCAAATTGAATTTTTGAGATGCATAAAACAATTGCAAAAATTTCCTTTTTAATAGTAGAATAATTTTGTCGGGCTTTATTCCAATGCTTAGATGCAAAATGTAATGATATGTCCCTCCATAACCTATGTCAGAAGCATTTGTATCAACTATTTTTGAAAGCAGAGGGGTCAAGAAATGATAAGCATAGAAGATCCTTTGCTTTTAGTTTGATTTCCCTTACAAAATTTGTGTGGATGTTGGTCCATGGGGGAGGAGGTTTCCTTAGTCTGTCATGCAGAGGTGTGTGTATATATATAAAGTGTAAAATTAGGTCTTAAGCCTAACTCACACCGTCCAAGCTTTATAAGGAGTCCACTCATCTCATTATGTGAGACTTTTGTTATTCTTTGATAAAAAGAGATAAACAGAATATAATTTTTATTCTAACTACATAATATAATTTTCTGACGAAGTCGATCGACACCCCTTAACTTCATGTAGCTCCGACACTAACTCTAACTTGTATTCCCCCAAAATATTTTGTCATGATAAGAAAATACACAATTAAAATAAATAATTATTGTATAAAGAAAACACACATAGTTTGTACTTCATTATGTTTTACTAAACAACTTCAATTTGGCTGAAATGATGGAGTTCAAGCTATAGAAGCATCTGATGATGCTTGCATTAGGGTATACGATATACATGACTACATGACATGTCTTATATATAAATATAAGATGCTTTAAGCCTAATTGTTCTTCTCATAAAATATGAGTCATGTTTCATTTTCAAAGTTGTTTGAGAAGAAAATAGACAGTTAGAAACACATTAGTTGAAGGAAATTATCATTATACTTATTGCACTTGTATTCCTTGTGGAACCAAACATGTGTAATAGAAAAGTGAGATTTGTGAATTTTAGTCCCAAAAAGAATAGATTGAAAATAGCGTCAGGGAAAAAAATTAAGCTGACTTAAGAATTATACAAAAATTAGGATTAGTATTTATTGTAACTTTATTTAAATTTGAAAAGAAAGAACGAATTTGAGTAGGAATAAAATGCACACAAATATTTGTGGTTGTGGGGATTTTGTCTTTATAAAGCGTTTTGATCTTCCAACACTTCAAGTAAGCTGTTTCTTTTCTTTTCCTGTTGTTTTAGAATTCTTTAGTTTAATCTCCTTGCTGTAATTTTCTTTTCTTTACGTAATTCGTTAATTTTATAGTAGAATTTTACTATATGCTTTGATAAGATTCGTAGTATTTTAAACTGGTCTCTAGTAATTGAACCAATTGGGTTAATTTTCTTGAACTGAACTTGAAACCAGTGTCCCAAACCCTGGACCATATTACATGTTTCGAGTTGGACGGGTCAAGATGAGCTCAATTGAACTTCTTTCTATGACAGTAATTTGTCTCCAAATATGTGTTTTCTTTTGCTGTATCTTCTTTATTTTGTTGGATTTCTATATTCATAATGCCTTGTCTATCTAAATGTCAATAATCATGTAATGTAAAATTAAGGTTTTTAGTTGTCCATACTTTATAATTGTATATTCTAGATGTCTGTGTTAGCTGAGACGATGAGTTCGACAAAGATGTTAGGCAAGAAGAAAGCTCATGAGATGCTGATACTAAATCTCTCTCCACATTTAAGCGCTTAAAAGTTGATGCTACCCGCAATTTTTCTGAAAATTGTCGTTCATTTGTTTGTCAACACAATGGAACCAGAGAGATCAACCCTGAATTGCCATCCACTACAAAGACTGTAATATTCGAGACCACAAGGAAGTTTCGTGAGAATTGTGGTCCATTTGTTTGTGACAACAACAAAACCAGAGAGATCAACCGGAATTTCTATTCAATACCAAGCCTATGAGATCCGATACTAGGAAGAATTTTCCTGAGAGTTGTGCTCCGTTTGTTCGTGAAAATAACATAACCAGAAACGTCTACCCGGAATTTCCATCCAATACCAAGCATGTAAAAGTAGACCCTAGGAAGAGTTCTCCTGAGAATTGTGTTCGTCAAAAGAAGAAAGGAAATGATACTCAATGCTATGTTGATGGTGAGAGCAAAAGTTTTTCTGGAGATATGGCTGAGCCAAGTAATTTTGAGGAAACTAGTTCACATGGTGGTTCAAGTCATTTAAATACCTCATGTCGACCTACTAATGGAAACCAACCTTTGAAATTGAAAGAAGAAAATCTTGTTTGTGATGAATCTACTCAACAACATGAAGTATTGGTTAGTCACGCTCTCCAAAATACATGTTTTGATTTATAATAGATGAGCCTATTGAAAATGATCTAGAATTGCCTGGTATTGTTTAACAATAAAATATAATCAATGCTCGAAATAAACCTAGTAAGGAAATAAGCCAGAGAGTTCACCATTTAAGAAGTTTCTGACGATGAGTCTTGGAGTAGGGTAGATAATGAGGAAATTTACATTTTAACATGCTCCAAATGGAACTCACTAAGATCAGGTCTCAAGAACCAAAGTACTGATGGTAAGAAACGTGGCAAGGAGGGCGAAATCATACACAAGTGCTTAGATATTTTAGAAGATGTTGTTGATTTAAAGCCATTGCCCGATATCATACGTCCTTAGACGCACAATGAACTGATCAAAGGCCAGTATTTTGCTTATAAGGATTGGGATCAATATGAATCTGTGGTCATGAAGAAGCAAATGGATCTCGGAGTTTCTCAACAAGATTTAAGGAATTCTGCTGTTATGTGTGATGTTTCTTGTCATGGATTGACAACTGAATATGAACATATTGATAAAGTAAAAGAAGTTAGAGAGACTCTAAAACGTTTTGATGACGTACATACTAAACTTTTGCGAGAATATAAAAGCAGAGAAACCTAACTTTTGTGATAACATAAAGCAGAGAAACCTGAAGGACTATCCTAAAGAAATATCCATATAGAGGTAGCATTGACTTTAAAAAATCACAAAAAGTCGGTAAATTGTGAGCGGACTTTTGGACATGTTCCTAGATTTGAAATTGGGGATCAATTTTGGGTTCAGGGCAGAACTAGTTACGATTGGTTACATAACAATTTCGGTTCAGGGAAGAACTAGTTACGATTGGTTACATCACCAATTTATGAATGGTATCAGGTATGTGAATATTTGCAAAAATATGTTGCAACAACCATCGTTGATTCTGGACGGTACAATAACGAAGCCATATCTTCTTAAGCATTCATTAATGTAGGTCAAGGCAGAAATCCAAAAGTATCTGTTAATGCGAGAGTTGAAGATAAAAACTTAAAGGGGGTAATATTGCCTTGAATAATTCCATGGACATGAGATGTCCGGTTAGGGTTATTTGTGGTCCAAAAAGAGTGAATGCTAAAACAAGTGATATAATATACATGTACAATGGGCTCTACATAGTGACCA